GCGCTGGCTCTTTTTAGTCATCCATCAACACACAACTTATTCGTCACGGCTTAAACCTGCATGAAAACATGCAAACGACCATCACCATTTATTTTAAACATATTGCGCCATTACATGAGTTTCACCACTTTCCTTAACCGCAGAATGAAAAGGATGATGAATTTGCATTTCCGGAAATTTTTTGCGAAGGCGCCGCTCTCTGTTTGAAATTCATATGAAATTAAAGAAATTACGAATAGGGTTTGCACAATCGTGACATCGTGACATTTTTTCGCTATTTTACGCTATGATAACCTGCAAGTGTAATATGTGAAAGTTTCCAGAAGATAGTGCTTCAATTCTAAAATCCTTGTACTCAATTGTATGCCGATGCAAATTCTTTAGAACCTGGAGCAGGAAGAGTCTCAGTTTAAGTAAGTTTGAAGCCCTTATGAATTCTATGATAAAAGTCGGATAAAACCGACGCGTTAACCTTAAAGCAAAAGAGTGGAACCCAAAGGATAGCAGTAACTGTATTCCTAAGCCTAGAGTTTCTAATCCGATCTCTTGACTACTCTAAGTCCTAAAACCGTTTGAACTTTTTCTCTTTTATATTTACCTACATTTGAAAATTTATAAGTCAGCCAAGGTTCCAATTTATAATATTCTGCAGTTTGTGTACGAGGTCAAGATTTTGAACACGAACAAATGGCGGGCTTTTGGTTAGTAAAGATAATATTTGGCACAAATAAAGAAGTCACCAGCGGATCTTAAAATATCGAGCAGGCTAGAATCAGCCTTTCTGCCAACCTGCACTACAACTTCTTTTGCTCTTTTCGAAATCTCAAGTATGCGGGCTTTAATGTAAGATTTATTTTTTAAGGTTTCCCCATCCTGTAACCCTTGGCGGTTTGTTAGAGATGGGTAGCATGTACCTTCCGGTCAACCAGTCATGGACTCGCTTTCAGCAAAAAGCAGAAAAGACCTACACAAGTCTTCAGGAGAAGCAACGTGAGATGCTGAAGTGCTTAGCGGAGGATGCCCTGCGGCGTCACTCTGGCCCTTCGAAAACGTTAGTTCAAACTTTCGCTGATATGCATTCTCTTCTTTTAGATGAAATTGCATGCGTACTTTTTAAAGTTAAGCTATGTAACAATTTTCGGAGCTTGCCGCTCCCCTAATTCTCTACAGTTTTGTTTTTGCTTGTCGTTTCGGTGAGGAGGCAAGTAGTTTTGGCAAATGTGTGCGCATATATACTCAAAGTCGACAAGGGCCTACGGCCAACACAGAGTTCGCGCATCCTACTTCGACTGCCTTCTCGGACTGCCAACCTGTTTAGATATGGCGTAGAGTAGAATGTAGAACTACCTGTGAACCATGCGTGAATAGGCTTCCTTGATCTATCATGCCTGCGATTTTTATTGCGTGATGTTTTATCTTATTGACAAGACAGGTACTACCGATAAGTCAGTATCTGTGCTGTTAATATGGCAAATAATAAATCATTTTTTGTACTTCTGGCTGCCGTTTGACAGTTTATGAATCTTAGGCGCTTGTTTAAAAGTAGTTGTGGAATTATACTTCAAATATTTACATCAATTTTTTGATCGAATTTGAGAAGGTTTGTTCTGGCAGATGTACCCCAAGTTCGCGCATTTATTTCTCCGAAAGTTAAACAAGGCAACCACTGCTTCTGTTTTGCTTTAGGGCTCAGATATACACTCGACACAGGCGGTTGCATCGCGATGAGCAAATCTTAGTGGAAAGTCATTGTTGACAACGACAT